AATTTACCCATATAATGACCGGGAAATTTTCCTGGGGAGAACTGGTACGTATTCTAGATTGAAAATAATTCAGCATCAGCGCAGAAGATTCTGAACCGCTTACCTTACAGACATTTGATATCTCATCAAAGCACGGGATCATCAATTCGTGTCGTGTGTCTTCTTCGGATCCCGGGCTCACTTCTTTCTGCAAAGCATTCGGGGAGTCTTTGGTTGATCAGAAGTATATGTTCTTGGAGGGCCTTCTGGGTGATCCAAGTGATGCGACGCTCTCGGAGCGTAAGCGGGAAGCGGTGGAGTGGTTGCGGGAAAATATGTGATAAGTATAATGGGAACATATTATAATTACTTATTACTTTAGGTTTTAAATTTCAGTGGTTATGTTCGTAACTTGAAAGTTTAGCTGGCCCGTGTCCGAATGGTTTATATGCTTAAGCGCCTTCAAAGTTGGGCATTCTCATCTTTCCCTCATACCACCTTGAGCTTGAGAAGGTTCAAGTGCGCCCACTATACTCCCGTTCCTACAGAAATTTAGCAACACACCTTAGTAGTGATACAACACTTTACGATGCTTAGGCCACTTATTAGCGTGTTTGCTGACAGGTAGCTATGGGTCAAAGGAGATGGAAATAAGAGAAATCACAATGCCGAAGATACCGAAGATGGTGATTGTCACTTCGATATTCTTTCTTCAGGCTGTTGACAAGCATGGTAGTGGTCATGAAGCCGACCGAGTTGAACGAAAAATAATCTTACCGGCGGTTCCCAGAATAAATAAAAATTCAACATTTTGTAGAACTACTAAGGAAATACAAAGTTAAACGATACATCTGGTAACTCGATCCAATGGGATATACAGGGAAAAGAAAAATCACGAAGATTCCTTCTCCCATGAGGCGGGCGATAACGGGAGAAGCGCTGCTGCAACAGTACGACCTTCTTCAGCGAGCAAGTTATACGTTGAACATGCACTTCTCTGATTTAGAGAATTAGTCAACGACTGATACTATTAACCCTTGGAATACTGGACTTACCGTATCCATCGCTTCTACCTGGATTCCAATTTGACGTAAGTAAGCTCGTAGATTCGGAGGTATTTGGGCCGTCCTTTGGCCAGTACCTAAGACCAAAATTTCTAGAAATAACCGAAATAAAATTATTCCCGTCAATCTTGCCAATATAGTAGACAAAAACATGCCAGGTTTCGGTACGACCACGTCAAATATCTGGAACCTATTCGTATCCCATCCTTTCCATAGCGTCGGAGGAACATCCCATAAGAACACTTTCCCTCCCAAGAAGATGCAAGCACCAGGCAATCTCATCCCGTTAACCAATTCGATCTGACCCTCCGCCGTAATGGTCTGTACTTGCACAGCGGGTGCGGATCCATCAGCAAGAATATTGGTAAAGTCTCGTCTTAAGGATGTTGAATGGAAAGGACGAGCTATTCTCGGTCTTGCGAGGGCTCGTAGGGATGGACGGAGTACATTGAGCATGACGTTGAAGTTTGGCACGGAAAAGCGGAAGCAGATTCCTTTAGGATAGTGGCACCACAACAGGGACGCGTCCACAGACGTCCAGTAACTCCCACACGAACTACTTACCCTTCCTCGGAGTCTGCAGTCATGTTCTGGATAGCCGTTCATCCTGGAACTTATAATTGTTCATGACACTTTGTATATTAGCGCTATATTTGTTGAGGAGACCAATTGGAAAGTCTATTAAGAAATAGCGGTACCGCCTAACATGATGGATATAGGTTCCAAACAAAAACATGAGTAACTCGGCACTAAGGAATACACCCATATTGCGGCATTTGGATCGCATTCTTTAACGTGTACATAGTGTTGACATATTGTGTCTGAAAAGGCACCTTTCAAAACCACCTATTCCGCGGTGCAGGTAAAAGCATAGCAGCATTGCTATGAGAACATCACCTGACTCCCAATATTACATGCGAACCATGGATGATTCCTGAGAATCTGACTCACTGACTGCATCAATAGTGAACAAATTAGTTACTTCTGGAAATCAAGTATGGAATTTGCTGTTGTCAGAGCTCCAAATCTGATATTTTCCACGGCCATGAAAATACAAAATGCGAATGGTACCGGACAGAGGGCTGTCAGGAAGGCTGTCAGAAGTTTATTCCGATTTCTCGGCTTGTATATCCTATACATTCGACAGAGACGATTAGGGTTGTCAACGATAATTGGTATATAAAGTCTTACCTCCGAAGGAAGAAGGTTTGTGAAATTAAAACTGCTAGCCCAAGAGGTATCAGATGAACATTATACTCCTAGGCAGAGGTATTGAGTGAATCAAAGTCGCCCCAAAGTGTAATGGTGTACAAGTATACTCATCTTCCAACAAAAGCTAGATGGATGAGATCCAATGACCTGCGCCCATTTTACCTGAATATTCTGCAAATATGTGCAATGTGATATGCATACCAAATCGAAGCCACCTGAACGAATGATTACCATGTCAAATAGAAATAGTATCTGGAATGCCTACCAATGATTTTAACAGTACAAGATCCTTGGGGAAATTCTCATAATATACGTAGGTTTGAAGGCCTAAAGCTCCTTGGAAGCTGAATGAATGGTCATCAATGATTTCCTACGATATTGGCATGATGCGGAGTTTACTTACAATGCAGCAAATATGACTGTAATACATTAACAACTTCAAGTGCGGCAAGCTTGACTCCAATATGCCAATATGAATGCTTCAAGAAAGGTACCATGCACGAAGTGTCAGTGTGCGAGGGGGATTATCCTAGTCCTAGGAAAGCTACTTTTAAATATATGTTTCCCATTACATATAACAGCAATAGAACAGCAGGAACCCATGTGGCTCATCCAAGTTAGTAGTAGAGTCTCAGTGCAGGGTAAATTTCTTTTGATACCTTCCATTATAACAGTTGCTGCTGCCAGCCGGTATTACATGGGAGGGATTCAAAAGTTTTTTCATGGATAAAACCGGGAAAATATTCAAAGAAAAGATAATTTATTCCCTCCATATTTCCTTATATAATATGTTAATAAATTGTGTGGTTTTATTTCGGTTTTATTTCGAAAAATATAGTGGCCACAAAGGAAAGAAGACCTTGAACAAAAGTGACAAAGAATGAAAGAAAGCCTCATTCTGCGGTTTTTATTCAATCTTTGTTCAACCTTTGTCTAATTTTCTTACTGTTTTGGGACCGGTTTTTGTTTGGGAAAAGCTGTGCAAATATTGCTTGTTTGGTTTCAGTATCTTTCAGAGAGAAAAACTGATCTAAAATATCGCATGTTACCCGCGTATTTTCTCGCCTTTTTTTCCACAGAAAATGCGGCAATCCCTGCTGTGTTAGCGAGAGGTCGAATAATTGACATGTCCTGGTAGAAACAACTGTGGAGTATTCTCCATTGCCATACTTTATCAAAGTGAATTCAATTGATGATATATTTGATGTTCTAAACTTGAAAGCCACGGTGATATCTCGGCTCCAAAGCACACAACGGCCCAGCATTGTAACTAGATTCTGATACTAGAATTGGGGACTCGGAGGACCATTCCTAGACATAACAATATCATTAAGATATCCAGCGGAATATGATATCATGTGACTGCCGACACTCACCCAATGTAGAGAACAAGTGACATCATTCTGCAGAGCTGTGGAGTCCGAGTTTACATGAAATAGTGATAGCGGGAGGGTTTCGTATCTTATTCAGTTCACCAAATATAGGCCCGAGCCTTTGACGTTCAATAGTGAGTATTTCGCTGTCATTTCGGGAATAGTAAATGAATTGACTCCCACCTATTATTTAGGAGTTTGTGTGGCTGAGAGGAAAGTGGCTGATGGGCTGAATAGATCATAGAAGGTGAAGTGGTGCCTCACTTGACTTGGCATGGTCCGTTTGAATGTTTTGCTGCTAATGATCATAAAGTTAACAGAGAACAGAAAAAGAGCCATGAGGTATGACATCAGTAAGACTACATACCGTTGCAGAATGGGCTTTTCGCATTGTCATGGAAATTCCTAAGCCATATATGCACACGCGGACCAGAAGAGTCTCTGCATATAGGACTGTCCCACTAAAGGGTTTCTAAACGTGTCCAAAATCACGCTATGCTCTGATAAGAGTACATATCATTTGAATTTCGAACAGCTTCGTGCTAGGTACTTAGAACTTTGAATAGGTTTATAAAAAATATTCCGTAAGCGGCAGACTTCTATCGTTGCCGAAGCAACTCACAATTATATCCTCTCAAGATAAATTCACACCAGTTCCACTTTCCTCGTTATTTGGGGTGTTAATGGTGCCATATGTTCGAGTGGACTGGGTCTGCAGACACTCCCAAGACACGTCGTTTATTACGAACACCACTACAAATGTCGTCAACTCTTTATTTAAGTAAGAATAGGTAATTCGCGGACCTCCATGCCTCGGACTCGAAGGAGCCTCCTTATAAATTATCAGCGACGACAAGAGAGGCTACAGGGCTGATAACAAATGATGAGCGATGAGGGGTTGAAAGAACGATAGCACGTCCATAGTTTGAAGTTAGATAAATTTTATTTACTCCTTCTCTATTTGCTATGTCAGTTGACTCGGATACTGAGTCACTGTACTTACACGACTTGGACACATCGCCGAGCGGGTGTGACTCCATCAGGAACATTGATGAAATTGCTGTCTCGAACGGACGGAGTAAGCTATTATCTGGCTTGGATAGACGAAGTATACTGTGCATGACGTTGAAGTTTGGAGAGAGCAACCTCCCTTAAGTAGGGTAGTGGACACAGAACAAAGACGCGTCCACGGTGGGCGTCCAGAAACTCCGACGCGTGTCTTTCTGTATTGTAACAGTTCGATAGAAAGTTTTGACCAAGTATTTCACTCTTAAAACAAAATATTAACTGTTATACTCTTCGGTTGGTGGTAGAATATAAGTAACCAAATTGGGAACCCTCCCAAAGAAGTGGGCTCTAGGTACTAAAAAAATGCCCACTGCCCGGATTGAACGAACGACCTTGTCATATACTCGGATTTGATAAATTCAATTACGAGTGACACGCACTACCACTGTGCTAAGTGGGCTTTTGGGAGCTGTCAAGGCTAGTCTTTATAAAGGGCTATGTGAAGGTACTGGTGCTCGTAAACTCTTCGTTACATAATTAATTCCATGACTAGCCTATTCAACCTCAAACAAATTCACGGAAAATTCGAATCCTAATATTATTACCAGCGGCGTCGGTCCGTCGGACATCCATCTCGTCGTTGGCGTCAGTTGGACGGCGGCCCCAGCTTAGCGGCGTTATTTTCCACTCGCAACCTAGGGAAGTAGAGTAACTGCCACTCTATGCGTTACGATTATTTGACTTCTTGGTACGTAAAGTCTTAAAAAAGCTGACGCATTTTGTCTTAGGTTGATTCCCCGGATATCCCTGTAAAACACTGTTTTATGAAAATCAAAACGTCAATACACCACATAGTAAGTGAAGTCTCTTATCTTAGCTTACTATAATACTCAATCTATTTGAACTCTAGCCTAAATTCTGAGGATAGTTTCGCGCGTGCCAGTAATGGCGAAATTGGTTTTGGTTCTCGTATTCACCACTATTTAGGCTTCTGAGCAGGAGCCCCACAATCTCATCAGGAACAATAGTATTGGGAAGGAGACAACACATAAAGCCGACAACATTGTAGGCACGCATAGTAGACAGCCTTATGTCCTGGAACCGAATATGGGAACTTGTATCATGATTATAATATATTCAAATCTATTCATCGATATACATTAACTATTGAATGAGTTCCGCCCTGCCTAGGCACAGTCAAGTTTTAAAAATCCAAGCAAAGCTAGGTTCCCTCTTGGAGTTTGGAATAAACAGCCTCGTTATATATCGAAATAGTAGAGTGAGTCCTCCTCCTCATTCCAGCTTAGAATGATTCAGTTTCTTGAATTATTCGTTCCACGCTTTTGCCTCTGGGAATGATGGCGCAAGGGAAGTCAGGGGGACGCCTACAGACCTCTGTCAGGTGATCGTTTATATCCGAAGATCTCAAAGAATTCTTACAGAATAAACCCGGCCAATGGGATAGTGGCATATTGAATATCGACGTCTTGTCCATTCTGGTCTTTCTCATGCTTGAACGTGAAGGCCGATAAAAGGCACGCAGTCTCTAGCCAAAGCATATTCTCAGCCATCAAGCGTCCGGGGCATACTCTTCGAAAAATATTGATTAAGCCTTGCATCTCTAAGAACTTGAAGTAAATACTTACCGTCTCCCAAACCCAAAGACCCCTGAAATTGCAGGATCCGGCTCAGGATTGTCTCCTAAGAATCGCTCGGGACGAAAGACCCCCGGTTCCTTATAATATTCTTCAGAACGAAGTATTCCATAAGCATTCGGAAAGACAATAGACCCTTTGGGAATCCTCCAACCACGATATTCGTCTTCCTGCATGACAGCATGGGGACCGCCGGTTCCGATAGCTGGATTCCACCGTAGAATTTCTTTAACGAGTGCTTCGATGTATGGCGTTCGGGAACGATCTTCCCATGTTGGCAAACGAAATCCAGGAGAATCAGGAGAGCCTAAAACGCTGTCTAATTCCTTTTGGCCCCGAGCTTGAATCTCAGGATGTAAGATGATCTGAAGGATTAAGGCATGGAGGATCGCGACTATTGTGTCGGAACCAGCTGAGAAAGGCCATAATGAAAATTAAAACTTCCTTGTGTATCCCAGTTCGTACCTGCATACATTGTTGCCGCAACTTGTTTAATATCTTCTTCTAAAGTGGAATTATCGTGACCTTCAGTCCGCTCTACCAAAGCCTGCCGGATCAAGGACGTCGATGCCTTTCCTGCAGCCTATATAAATCAAACAAATTATGTGATAAATGGAAAGACTATTGATTGCCTACTGACAATTTTTTGCACAGCTTCATCGAACGGTTCATTGAGGCAGCGGCGTACCAAGGGTGCAGTTTTAAGCTGCGCGAAACGTTTGAAACCTGCTCCAGGGAACCATATTGGAACATGTTTCACTAAACATAAGAGGTAGGTATTATGGAAGAATACTTGGATAAAAACACTTACATATGGGAAATATATTGACTAAATACTTTGGTTGAAAGCCTTCAGTCATATTGGCCCCGACCTCGGCGGAAAGTTCAACAAGTGGATCACTCCCCGATTGTACCGTGTAGCCATACGCAATGCCAAGTAATAAATTGGCAGCAGCATATATCATATGTTGTTTCATATTCTTTGGATCGGAGTGCAGCAGTCTAAGGAGCATATGGGTGGAAGAAACCTGTCTCTCGGCAAATTCTCCTGTTATTGTCGCTGGGTTTAGGTATTGAGTAAACAGTCGACGATGCCGTTTCCAACGCTTAGAATACCGCATGGCTGTGAAAGCCCATCCTGCATCCATCCTAGAATAATTGAAGCATTAAGGAATCTCATTTAATGAGTTTCGAAATGATTTACAAACTAGGCTCTTCAATCATCGGTAGTGAGGGCCTATCAGAGTAGATGGCGCTCCGTTGGTCCAAAAGCTCATTACAAGCTTTGATAGAATTCAAGACAATTATGTGTTTCCCTAGAGCCGCAACGTGAGTAACGTCACCATATTGCTTGCCCCACTCCGCGTATTTCAAGTATTCACGAGTTGAAGGAAGATCCAATGCGTTCCCGAGAAGTGGAAGTGCTTTTGGTCCTGGCGGTAGAGGCAGTCTTGAAACAGAGCGGTTATTCAGAAAATAATAGACAACATAAATCCCCGTGAAGAACAACGCATAGAACAGATAGAAGGATTCGTCCATATGAAAGGGGGCCACGTATGTAGACTGGGACCTGCCTGGTATGTGAGTATATAAAGTGATGATAGTCGAGATGTCCGCGCTTCTCACCACTTCGGTTAGCCATTTGACGATACGCACTCCCATTGGATGTAATTTGAGGATGGCAAGCCATCGGGTGTTTACCGCTCTACATATCTTCATAAACGAGAACACCGCGCGTGAAAGGGATAAATAGGTTAGAAACGGCTAGTAGTCAAACAACCGGCTCATGTGTGCTAGATTATTGTCCCTATTGATCCGGAATCTGCATCAATCGTACCACTGTGCAGATCTATGGTGTACCGTTCGCGCAAAAAATCCGAAGGGGTGCGCGCGCGCGCCGAGGTTTTCATGTATGTGTATGCCGATTTTCAAATTTCTATGAGATGTTATAATATGATTTTTCTAATTACTTTGTGTATTCTGAGAAGGAGGAATGGTCTGATTTGGACTGACTCGCGGTTTCAGGCAGTTTTCAGGTATGTATGCATGGGCCGTATTTTCAAAACATTTTAAGATAACTGTTCATCATTCCGGACATAGAATAATAAATCGATCGATTTTATAAAGGGCGGAACTTAGGATTGATTAGCCATAAGGGAGGACAAGAAGAAATGAAGTTGAAAAACATACCATGGGAGCCTTGTCAGCGGTCACCCGGTGATGATCATGTCACTATTTGTCATTATTTGGGAGCCCATGGGGACGGTTGCTGACGAGAGGTTTCCCACGCTCTGTTTTCCAAATCCCAATTGCTAATTTTTATTATCGCCCTTACGGTTCATGCAGCCACCCTGCAACTTTCAAAGAAAAATATCAAATGCCTGAGAGTACTACGGTAAGCCCATCAGGGGATCTCACCAATTTCTAAAAAAATCTGGTGCATACATCCTTGGAAACAAGCTACTGCCCTGGGCCGTACGTCTCCATAATTTTCCAAACCTGTCTATTTCACTCTTACAGAATCAAAAATGCCAAGGATTTTCCTCGAAAATAATAATAAAATGTTCAAATAATTTTGTGACTGAGGTATACACATACGTGAAAACGGCCTCGGCGCGCGCACGCACCCTTTCGGACTTTTTGTGCGAACGGTACGCCATATAGACCTTGATTTTTAAGCAATAAGTATATAACGAAAGAGCTCTATGTTGTTTGTCATCACGTAACAACACAAGACGAACAATGTACTAGACCGTATGGCTGACAAAGAGTAGATACTACGATGTCTATAGTTCAGTTTAAAATGGTTCAGTTTCTTGAATGATTCTTTCCACGATTTTGGACCTAGGGATGATATCGCAAGGGAAGTCAGGAGGATGCCTACGGACACTGTAAGATGATTTTTCACGTCCCAGAATTTCACGGTGTCTTACAAAATGAACCCGACCATTGGCGTTGTCGCATAATGAATATGAATATCTTCTCCGTTCTGAGCTTTTGCAGGCCTAAATGTGAATGCAGCTAAAAGACATGCAGCCTCCAACCAAAGCATATTCTCAGCCAGCGAATGTCCGGGACATATACTTGAAATAATTGTTGTAAGCCTCTCAGCTCCAGAAGATAAATATTCTTACCGTCTTCCAAACCCAAATGCACCACTAATAGAGGGATCTGGTTCAGGATCGTTCAGAGCGAAATATATTCGGTTGGGTGTAGTACTCCTCAGAACGGAGCATGCCCTAAGCATTCGGAAAGATAATAGACCCTTTGGGGATCCTCCAACCACGGTATTCGTCTTCCTGTATGACAGCATGCGGACCGCCTGTTTCAACAGCTGGATTCCAGCGTATAATTTCCTTAACAAGTACTTCAATGTATGATGTTTGTGGGCCGTCTTCCCATGATGGTAAACGAAATTCGGAAGACTCAGAAGAGCCTAAAATGTTGCCTAATTCCTTTTGGGCAGAGATTTGAATGGCTGGGTTCAATACGAGCTGAAGGATTAATGCGTGAAGAACTGCGACAGTTGTGTCGGCACCAGCTGAGAGAGCCAAAGGTCACGTTCAATAAAGCATGAAATCCCCAAGTTTAGGCTATTTATTACCTGCATACATTGTTGCAGCGACTTGTTTAATATCTTCTTCTGTGTTAGGATCATGGCCTTCAGTCTGTTCTACTAATGCCTGCTGAATCAAGGATGTTGATGTCTTTCCTGCAGCCTGCAAATATATATAATAAATTATTGTATGCGTCGAGAGGATAATATTTGCTTGCTCACAATTTTCTGTACAGCTTCATGGGAGTTCATTGAGCCATCGCCTCCCCAAGGGTGCACATTTAAGCTGGGCGAAATGTTTAAAGCCTGCTCCCGGGAACCATATAGGAACATATTTCACTAAAGGTGGAGGCTGGTAATATGGTAGTAAATTCAATAGAATTGCTTACATATGGGAAAGATATTGACTAAATATTTTAAATTCGGTTGAAAGCCTTCTGTCAAGTTCGCCGCGACCTCGGCGGAAAGTTCAACAAGTGGATCATTTCCAGATTGCACCGTATACCCATACGCAATACCAAGTAACAAATTGGGAGAGACGTATTTCATATGTTTCTTCAAATATTTTGGATCGGAGAGCAGCAGCCTAAGGAGCATATGAGCAAAAGAGACCTGTCTTTCTGAAATTACACGCGTCATTGCCATTGGGTTGGTTTAGATGTTGAGTAAAGAGTCGACGGTGCAGTTTCCACCGCTTAGAATATCGGATGGCTGAGAAAACCCAACCTGCATCCATCCTGGAAAAATTTGAATTGCAATGAAAATTAATGGGTTTACGCACGACTTACAAACCAGGCTCTTCGATCATCGGTAGTGACGGTCTATCAGAATAGATGGCGCTGCGTTGGTCCAAAAGCTCATTACAAGCTTTGACAGAATTTAAAGCAATTATGTGTTTCCCTAGAGCGGCGACATGTGTAACATGACCATATTGGTTGCCCCACTCCCTATATTTGAGGTCTTCATGAACTGAAGGAAAATCGAATGCGTTACCGAGAAGTGGAAGTGACTTTGGTCCTGGAGGTAGAGGTGGCAGTCTCGAGGTAAGGCGGTCCGTTAGAAAATAATAGACAAAGTAAATCCCCGCAATGAACAATATGATGAACTTCATGTAGCTTAGATAGAAGTGCAGTGCAGTAATCGACATTTCCCCAAAAGTTCCAGGCATATCCCGTTTCGTAGAGGTTTGCAAGGGGAAACCACAAGGTGATATGAGTGTCGGGACGGTCCCACTTCTCACACCTTTGGCAGCCACCTGGCTCTATTCCGCTGTTAGCCATTTATAGATAGATATCCTTGAATTCAGTCACAACCGCACAACCTATTGGATGCAGTCAGAGTTTGAACGAAAGAGAACCAGACATGACGGGTAGCACTTTTTGCACACCATATCGTGTTATTTAGGAGTATACTCCCGTAGACGACAGTGCCGGAAAGATGACTGCATATAAAGCGGTTAACTTTCAACCCGTGACTCAAGCACATTGGGTTCTTGATGTCCATTATGATGTTCACGCTTTGCTTCGGGTATCAATTTTTATGTTGTTTCAGTTAATTTATTGACCTTTGTTGCGCTTCACGAGCTCTTCAAACTTCACAAGTTCCCCACATAATATATCTAGAGAGCTAAGGAGAGATATAAACATATCTAAGATTTAAAATGGAAAGGACCTATCTGCCATACGTCAAATCAACTTTCCCTTTCGATAAACGATCGACAGGTCCAGATCCGAGATATCTTCCAACCGTTAGAGTCTGTACTTCATCTATCGAGTGAGAATATCGTTACCTTTCGCACCACCCGCATACGTGGTTGGGATCGTAACCCACACTCGTCACTAATTCTTCATCTATTCCTTGACAAAGACCCTCCACATCCGTGGCGTGAATTAAAAATTCACTAAAAACATGGCTAAGACAATGGCTTTAACATGCATATGTCCTGAACCGACATACCTGCAATATTCCGATAATAAATCCAGGCTCCGTCAACCGCCGCATAATCTCTTCATTACTTTTATTTACTTCCAGGTCTGTCAGATCTTGCCATTTATTCATGGCCACCACCCAGGTGTCTCCCCTTCGTTGACAACTTTATGACCAATAAACTCTTCGTCAAGTAGCCTGAATTGGAAATCGTGCTCTTTACATACCTCCTTATATCCACAACTGGACGCTCCTTAGCGACAAGATCAGCGATCTGATGAAGTTGCTCTCTGGAAAATCTGCCCGAAAGGAATAACCATGATGTTAAAATTACCTTGTATCGGAAGGGATAATTACTTGAAGTCAAATCAACGACTATACGTTGAACATGATCAACTGAGCTTACTTCAATGATAGGGGTAGCACAGGGGAAGGAAATCGGGATATATAGAATCACTTGTATTGTAATGTCTTACATGGGGCAAGGCCCCAATAGACAATAATGGATCAAAAAAAAAAAAAACTGAGCTTACTTTCTCGGCTCCTACATGTAGCCATGCCCAAGCATTACCGCTTGTAATTCCACCTCCAATTTGCAGCCCACCTAAGGCATACGAAATTATAAGCTAGTTTACGTATAGATAATCTCAAGAGACAAACCCGATCACCTGGCCAAGCCGCCAAAGCTTCTTCGGCGGTCTCATAGTTTCCAGCACCAAGATTGATTACATGCCCGCCTTTCAAGTCGTTATCTTGGTATAATTTAGCAAAATATGCTGGTGAATTGCTACAATAATAAGTATAAGAACTTTGGAGCCAAAAGGTAGATATGAACCGATCGACGATGTCTTGCACGAACCTGGATATGAAATTTGTCTTCAAAGTAGAGGAATCGTGTTTAGAAAGCGATCCTCCAACGATTTGCTTGACTAATCCATCATGGATGCCGATGCAGGGAAGAAAAAATTGACCGACGTTGAGTTTTTTCTGCGGGCATGGTAAGTTTTTGGTTGCCGAAGTAATTGCGGAAGAATAAAGAGCCCGCCCGTCCGCCACTGGATCTCTTTGCCATTGGAATGGACCTTTATGAGCCTTGATCCTTGATGAAGAAAACAATTTCAGAATTAATGCCCAGGAGAGGAGGGAATATTGTCAAGTCTCATACGGGTTAGCAATTTGGAGTATTTATCCAATTACTAAAGGATACTAGTACCAAATGGAAGAATGAAGGCAAGTTTAATATGAGTGCCTAAGGTCATTATAAACATGAGTATCCCAATGCTTGGTAAAATGCTAACAAGACCATAGTAAGGGCGTTGTCTTGCTTGCATGTGGTTCACTATTTCAGCTTGTCCCACCAAATGCGTCGAGAAAAATTGTGTGAAAAAGAGGGTAAAAAAGAGCATAATGGAATTCGAAGGCGGTGAAAGATAGAGCCTTGAATCCTTTCAAGGAGAATACATGAAAAAGGAATGACCTCTGCCCGGATTGAACGGACGACCTTGTGGAACTTCCAAACTGGAATCACATGCTCTACCACTGAGCCAAGAGGTCCTTATTTGCTTATCTACTCAGGTAATTATAGCCGATCATGAAGCTTTCTACGCAGATTATGTGGCGTCCACTATTCTTGCTTTGGGTTGCTAACCGACCCATTATTGTTTTAGAACAGCATCGAGAAAGACCAAAACATTACGCCAACAGAGCTTTTAAGGCGAATTATTCAGGAGCTTTGATAGCCATATTCTCCATGGAGACTTCGACTGGAAGGTACAAAGTAGTCTCCTTTCGATCTTCTTATAGTCGAGTCGATGAAGTATTTATTTATAATTAATGGGCCCATACAGGTTTATATGACAGTTGACCGTAAGTTGACAGGTGAATAGGTAACCGGTAACAATAGCCAGATGCACCCCAGCGCCTTATCGTGGGGAGTCTGACTCGGACCCCAGCCGTCAACAGCTCTTGTTATACCGTCGGAGTCCCCTTCAACTCTTTGCATACAATTGCCCCCTTTCTTCTATATTATGTGACTACTAACATATTCATCTGGCTTCCAGCAAAGGGACAAAGAAATCAGGCCTCGGGCTTGAGGTCGGGCTAGGAACAGTCGGGTACAAAGTCTTCACTCTCCATTGTTTGGTTGTTGGCTATTGTTCGTCTCCACTCTCCGTCAGACGCTTCGATTGTCCATGGCGACATCTTGATCGCCACTCATGGATAATAGAGTATAATGAAGCAGAGACGCGCGCAAAATGCTTAAAAGGCTCAGTCGTGGTATACCAGTCATCCCCATTCTTCAATCTAGCAGTGCTACTTCATTGTACTTGGACTGGTTCCTTGCTCTAGTCACATTCTTTCAAGCCAATTCTTAACTGCTTTCCTTCTACACAATGTTCAGCAAAGTGCTCATTGTTTCTGGGCTCATCACCTCCTTTGCCATGCAAGGCTACGCTCATGCCGTCATTGTCCCTGAGCTCGGTATTACAGGTACTCCAAAGAGTAGCAACGTATTCCACCCAAACAACGATTGCGGCAGTGGGGCTGACCTTGCTGCCATTGATACTTCCACTGCGCTTCCCATCTCCAACGGAGTCGTTTCAGGTCTTACGATCACGAACTTCAACCCGTGAGAAACTCATATCTTCTGTTATTCTCGCTATATTTACGATATTATGCTATTAGAGGTTCAGATGGCTCTCGCAGCATCAAGTCTGTCTTCATCAACAGTGACGGTACTGGTAAGACCTTCGTCGCTGCCAACGTTACTCAGAACGGTGAAGCCAAACCCACCAATGTTGGCTCTGAACCTTGTACGTGAACTTCGGCTACTTGATCGTCCAATCTTGCTCACTCATAACTGCAGTGACTGTCAAGCTACCTGATGGTACCGTTTGCAATGGTGGCAAGGACGGGAACCGCTGCTTGCTTTCGTTAACGACCACTTCTGGATTCGGAAACTGCGTTGTCCTTACTTCAAGTGCCGCTTCCGATGCCGCGCCAGCTGTATGTAGTCATTCAGTTCTCTTTACAAGATCTGTTCACTAACATTGGGATGATTACTAGGCCGCTGAGTCCACAACGGCGAAATCCACTGCCGCTACCTCCACTGCCGCCGCTGCTACCACAACGGCTGCGAAGTCCAGTAGTACCGGCAACTGCAAGGCCACTAAGAAGCAACGGCGTCGTTGGGTCGCCGCCAAGGATGTAAGCACTATCTCTTATTGTTCATGTGACATCGATGTTGACCACAACAATAGCACAATTAAATCCTTTCCTTCTTTTGATTTCTTTTTGTACCAAAATCATACAACGTAGAGTACGTTGCCTGTAGATGTATTATTAGTCTCGAGTAGTGAATGTGACTAGAGAGTTTCTGCTGGATATGCCTGACCTGGATACGGCTTCTCGAGGAGATAATTGTGTGATCTCTTTAATTATGCTCTATTTTCTTCTTTCCCTTTGTGGCGGGTTAGCTGTGCCCATCAAGCCCACTGCTTTGGGTTGGATCTGCACGCACGAGAATTGATCCCAAAGCATTACGGTATCAATTGTGACGTCATCTCACAGACGTGCTAAGGGCCGACACACAGCAACGACTTCGACGACAATAACTATTTGAACAGGAGCTCGATTGAGGACAACAGAAAAAATCTGGTTGGGTGTTTCCATTTATCATTCTAAAATGCATTACTGAGAGGTTTTCTTTCTTTCTTATCGTTATTATTTACTTAATAGTCTTCATGCTTCTGTCCGAACTTCAGGTTCCCAAATCCAGGTAGTCTAGAGGACGCTACATCGACTTATAACATTAGTTTGTGAGCGCCAACCGGCCGGCAGCTTAGCGAGTAAGGCAGTGCAAAATCGTATTAAAAACGCGACGCGGGAGATACTTAAACAAACTGTGGGAAAACGCATAATTTCTGAGACAGCCTTAACGTAAGGACTGATACTTTTCCTTCGTACCTCAGGATAATCAGAACTTCGCCAAGCGCGCAAATCCAGCCTAGGTTGGCTGCGGATACACTCTAGTAAAGGACCCCGATAATCCTAAATATACAGCATGCCTAAATTTGGACTTTTTGGACCGATTTTGAAAACACTATCTCGAGAACGGCATTATGAAACCCCATCGATATTTCAGCGGTGGATGCGTCCATCCAAAAGGAACACATTACTGCAATAAAAGGTTTTATTTTCCTCCTTGGGCACTCACAAATGTCGAAATACTGAAAAAAGTTTGGGCATTTTTAGGTCAAAATTGATGATTTTTCACCTGCGGTATATTTTAGGATTGTCGGGAGTCCTTCTAGTAGGCACGTTATGACACCTCGATGTAGGCCACTTTCGAGGTCTGATCGTCAAATGGTAAATGCGACTCACTTTATCCATCTATCCATCAAACCCTCTATGAGGTATGCAGATCATACTGATGCCAGTGGCGACAATATCCATTGGTTCGGGAAGGTGAACCGTTACTTCGGAACTTCAGCCTATTACAGTCTATAGCAGCGCCGAAATTATGACAGAACGCATGTAACAAAGCAGAACAGGGCACGCTTCAAGGTAAAAAATCCAGACCTTGATATTTCGTTGCCATATCCACTAAGAATTTGACTATCAGAAATGAAGCGGTCTCCCTTTCGAGCCTTTTCTGGTCGAACTGTCATGAGGCATTTATAATTAACTAGTTTGATGCGGCTGTTGACAAGGGCGGAAAAAAGAGAAGGAACCGGTAACAACGCGGCAATATTACCTTACCGTGGCGACGGGTTACCAGAAGACCCGATAGTTTGGCGTCGTCCACTACAGTCCACAACCCTTGTCTCTCTATCATATTTTTTACAGTCGCCTTGAACGCTTTAAAATTCCTCTTTTCGGTCTACGAATGCGTTGATATACTAAAAAATCTTTATGGTATTAATCAGGATAAATAAAAGAACAGAAATCAGGCTACCAACATAATTAATGTGCATGAGAAATCGTGGAAAGCGTAGGTAAAAAACGGGTAACAGACACGTCGACTAGTCTATCCCGTTATTAGTATTCATATACTTCGATTATCCATGGCGACACCCTTCGGTCATAATCGAACTTATTTATGGAAGGAAATACGCGTACAGACTGCTTAAAAGGCTCATTCGCGGTATTTACTTTTCTTCGGTCACCCCCATTCATCTAGCAGTGCTACTTCATCTTCCTTGGACTGGTTCCTTGCGTTTTCAAGTCACATTCTTTCAAGCTACTCATTAACTGCTTTATTGCCAATTCGTTGTCTTCTACAAGATGTTCAGCAAAGTACTCATCATTTCTGGCCTCGTCGCCTCCTTCGCCATGCAGGGCTATGCCCATGCCGCCATTGCCCCCGAGCTTGGTGTTGCAGGTACTCCCGTTCGTGGTAACGTACTTCGTGCAAACAACAATTGCGGTGGTGCAGACCTTGCTGCGATTGATACCTCCACTGCTCTTCCTATCGCCAACGGAGTTGTTTCGGGTCTTACGATCACCAACTTCAATGGGTGAGAAATCTGTTTACTTTTTTATAGTCCGTTTTATTTACAATATTTTGCTATTAGTGGTGCAGATGGCTCTCGTAGCATCAAGTCTGCCTCCGTCAACACTGATGGTACTGGCAAGACTTTCGCTGCTGCCACCGTTACTCAAAACGGTGACGCTGCCCCTGCCACTGTTGGCTCTGAGCCTTGTAAGTGAAGTTAGTTCAGTTAATATTGCTAGTCTTGTTCATTTTAACTACAGTGTCTGTTACATTACCGGCCGGTACCACTTGCACTGGTGGAACGGACGGGAACCGCTGCTTGCTTTCGTTAACCACCACTGCTGGATTCGGAAACTGTGTTGTCCTTACTTCAGGCGCCGCCGCCGCTGCAGCTGTACGTTGTCATTTGATTCACTCTGTGAAAGGCCTGTTTACTAACAAGGATATGACCAGCCTGCCGCTGCTAACAACGCTACTGCTGCCACCGCTGCCACAGGAGCCAAGGCTGGTAAAGGCAAGGGCAAGGCTCGCAAGGGTCTCAAGAACCGCCGTGGTTGGGTCGTCGCCAGGCATGTAAGCACTATTTCATGGTTTATATGAATGACGAGTCGATGTTGACCACAAACATAGCAAAACAACTAAATGCTTCCCTGCTTTATTGGAAGAGTCATCCATCATCATAGAGTACGTTTCTTGTATATTAGTAGCGAGTTGTGAATGTGACTTAGGAGTTACTGCTGGATATATGCATGCTATCGGAGATGCAGCTTCTCGATAAGTAGGATAATTGTGGGATCTTCTTTCATTATTCTGCATTGCATGCCTGTTTAAGAGTCTCTAGACCATTGATTCGGCTTAGAATGCAATATGGGGTATGGAACGCTGGGAATCTGAAGGTATTGATCCCAACACCGTGACAGAGTGTGACGTGACGTGAATTTCTAGGCGCCTGTGATCAACACGCGGCTGTCATTACTCCTTACTGGATGACTTCCCGTAGGGTTCTAAATCCTAAATCCTATTTTCTAAATTCTAAAATCGCTGTTAGCGCTGATGA